GGCACCATCAGCTTATTCCGCCACGTTTGCTTATGCACCTGCTTTTGTCTTCAGCGATTGTGTTGGGAAGGTGAGCATCACAGAATGCCGGGTTATTAGAACAAGGTGTTCTTGTGTTAAGGAAGTACTTGAGTTGAGGCCCAATGTCCATCTGCTACAGGATTTCATTCTTAAGTGCTGCTCCCAAGATGCCTTGTTCCCTCTTGCAGCCAGGGGTGGGTGGTAAGGAAAACGGGCCCATCCCCCTCTTCATGTTACACCCCCGTGTGCATTGCCCCACCCAGTCCTTTGGTGGGCATGAGAGACTTGGAGGAGCCCTGGTGGGGTCGTGGTCGTGCATCAGGCTCTGATCCTCATGATCGGCAGTTCAAAACCACCAGCGGCTCCACAGGAGACAGACTGGGCTTTCTACTCCCATCGACAGTCTCGTGGCAGTGAGAGAAACGTGGGTACAAGAGCCGCATGAAGGAACTTCCACTCCCCCAGTCCCCTCTCACCAGTCAGCTGTAGAACGTGGTCTCTGTGCACTCTGTTTTGCCAGTAGACGGTGGTGCCCTGAGACTAAGACCCTGATCCCCCGGCTGCAGCTCATTCCTTCGACATGCTGGGTTACGTCTACGGAGTTTTCATGACTTGTCCCCCATAGGCTCCACCACATTCTTGGGTATATTTGTAGCAAGAGTAAACACACATACACAAATAGCCTCTATCAAACCCACATCATTGATTTGAGGGTACACCCCATTCCCCTCCCACACCCATTCAGTCTGCCTGCCTGTCCGAGCATCTGTTTGTCGGTCCCTGCGGTTGCAGGGTTGTGTATCACAGCATCTGCTTCTGCAGACCTTCTAGGGTCTCCCCCTGCCTCTAGTCTCTCTGTGCCCAACCTCCTCCTCACTGTCCACTGCCTTCCCCATCACCCAAGTGAGCACTCAGCTGCCCTTCAGGAGCCCTGGGCACAGTGGGTACGAGTGGGGCTGCTAGCCACAAGGTCTGCAGTTGAAGCCACCAGCCAGCACTGTTCTACTCCTGTAGAGTCACCGTCTCAGAGGCGTGGGGTGGTTCTGCCCTGTCCTTAAGGGTGCCTGCACGTGACGCCCGCCGTGAGCTGGGGCCTGCCCTCCCTCAGGCTCCTGCCACCCTGGCAGCTTTCTTCTTCTTCTTCTTTAATCATTTTATTGGGGGCTCGTACAACTCATCACAATCCATACATACATCCATTGTG